GTTTGTTTCGGGGCACCATGGGCGCACAATTTGTGTTTATGGATGACAACGCCGTCCTCACCGTGCAAACATCGTAAGCGAATGCCTTCAATCGGAGGATATCACCCGTATGGACTGGCCAGCATTCTCACCGGACTTGAATCCAGTAGAGCACGCGTGGGACATGCTTGGCCGACGAGTTGCAGCCCGTTAACCTCCTCCTACATGTCTACCGGAACTTCGGAGACCATTGCTTTTTGAGTGGTGTAATATCCCCCAAGATCAGATCGATAATTTGATACTCAGCATGCCTAGGCGTTGTATGGACTGTATTGCATCGTCTGGGAGACATACAATGTATTCACAATCATACCAACCATGTAATGTTGTTTTTTTGTAATTTTCTCCAGGGAGAAAAATTCGCTAATTATTTTAATAATATCAAACATATAGCATCTTTTTTTGCTCTTTACCTTTTGTTTAATAAATAAGCTTTACAAATAAGTCAAATTTGTTTTGCTTCTAACTTTTCCTTTGCCTGATTTTTGCATTATCCTTAATTTATGGACATGAGTGTAGAAACAATGTCTTATTTAGGAAGAGCTCGTAAGGAAGATTTGCAAAATCTCGCGGCTGAACTGGGAGTTCATGTGACTGCAGATTTGAAAATAGTCGATTTAAAACAGAAAATTGTTGAAAGTAGAGATTATGATGAAGTATTCGTCAAAGGAGTCTTAGACACAATAATACAAGAACGAAAAGAGAGGGAGGAAAGAGAAGAATAGAGGAGGAGGAAGAAGCAGGAAGAAAGCAGAAGAGCGGAGAAGGAAACGAACAGTATGAATTAGAGTGATTAAGACTTGAAGCAGAGAGAAAGTCTCAAAATACCGGACAGATCCGGCTGAAAACGGAGCTGCGTCACCTATGTAGAAATTCGATGACAAGAAAGGAAATATCAGTCTATACTTGCTATTGTTTGAAAGGCAAGCAGAATGGGCTAAAATTGATAAAGAAGAATTTGTATCTCATTTACTAGGACTACTTCCTTACGAAGTAACCCAGTTAATAGCTAGAGAACCCTCCGATAAAGCTAAAGACTATGAACACGTGAAGAATTTATTGTTAAGACGGTTTAAACTAAGCCCGGAAAAGTTTAGGCAGAAATTTATGAAACATCAAAAGAGTACCGAATCCACATGGGTGGATTTCAATTATGAAATAGAAAATTATTGCAAAGAATGGGTGACTGGTCTAGGAGTTAAGACTTTTGATCAGTTGCTAGATTTGATGGTGATTGACCAACTTAAACGTCGAGTTCCTCCTGAAATTCGAGATCATTTTCTTGATGAGTGGGTAGAGATGATTTCATCTAAAAAATTAGCTGAAAAACTTGATGCCTATGAAAACGTTTGCGGAAACTTTCAAAAAAAAGGCCTGTAGTGGATCGGCAGAAAGAAAGAAAGAAAGATACAATGCACTAACTCAAGGTAAATTGAGTTCAGATAATAAAAATAAAACTGAAAAAAATTGTCATCAGGATTTAATTCGCAAAGCTGGTTTCATAGACCTAGAAGTCCACGTCCAGATGATAAATATGAAAAACGAAAAAAACGCCACAATGCTATCAGTGTGGGTCCTATCAACATTTAAGACCCCAATGTCCAAAACTTAAGAATAGTACTGAATCTCCTGCTAATCTTAACAGAATTAGTGCAAAACCAGAGGATAAATTTCTATTACCTTATACTAGTATGGGTTACGTAAATGGTCATAAAATTCCTATATTAAGGGATTCAGGTGCTAGTATTGATATAGTTTGTCGCAAATACATCACGCCGGAAATGCTGACAGGTGAAAATGTGTGGGTGCAACAGCCATTAGATTTGAATCCAACCTGTTTACCATTGGCTGAGATCGAACTAAATTGCGATCTTGGGCGAGTAATAACTAAGGCTGCCATTATTAGAAATGAACTCGACAAAGGAAGGTATTTATTAGGCAATCGAACTTTTGCACTGTTGAATAAACAAAGAAAGGAACCTGATAGTCATCCTACCCAGGTTAATGCCGTCTCTACTAGAGCTCAAAGGAAAAGAAAAATAGCAGAAGAGAAGATCTTGGAACCGATGAAGGAAGAAAATAAAGCATCCAGAGATGTCTTTGAAGAAGTTAAATCACCGGAATTAGGCGTGGAAGATGTTCACGAAAAATTGGAAAACGATAAAAAAATTAATATTGAGAATCATTTTGCAATGCAGCGTTATCATCATCTTTCTGCTTTTGATTTAATATCAAAGCCGCTACTAATAGACGAAGAAAACAATTGTCGAAAGCAAATGACAAATGAATATTATCCGAAGGGCAGAGATTAACTGAGGAAAGGCTTTGCTGTGAATTATAGCCGAGGAAATGGTCCACCATGGAAGAGATCTAGGCGCCGTCTAAAAAAAAAAAGAAGACTAATTTGAACACTGTCCATTTTCTTCCTATTTAAATGTGGTGTAAAAGTATTTGTTTAAAATTTTAAATTTTTGACCTGAAATTTGGAAACTTATGAGAGAAGTTACCTTTTCTCTTTAAGCAAATGAGCATGCCGAGCTTATTAAACTGCCAAATTTTACAGAACTTTTCCCTTCGGAGAAAGTCTCTCCGTTGGGGGAGAGGTTGTAACAGCTTTAAATAGTATTAAAAATCTTGTAGTTTAAATAATTTAAATAGATGAACATTAAGGTATTTGTGGATGGCAATATTTGAAACCAGACTCGAGAGCCACGTGCGACTCTCGCACGAAGAATGTAATTTATTTTTAAATGTTAGAATATGTTTTCTTTTCTTGTTTGTATGTCGCCATTTTTGAGTGTTAAATAAAAGTTATTGCTGTGTTCCATCATTACAGTTGCTTCATATCGCCAAAGAAGTATTACAGTAATTTATAGTTTTTATTTTAATTTTCCGATGTTTATTTTTATTTTGGAACAAGCCTTTCCTTTACTTTCACATTTCCCACTTACTTTTCCCTACGAGAATGAATTTTTAGCGTAACGATTTATGTAAATGTGGTAGAAACCAGTATTTAAGCTGAAGCTTAGAAAGCATTAGAAGCTTAGACTGCATTAAAAGAGCATAGAAAAGAGTAGAAGGGTTAGGAGAGCGTGTTCCACCTTCTGGTAATGTTGCTGTTACTAGTTTGACCTTACTAGTATTCGGTCGTATTGTTATGTGCCTGCTATTATCCGCCGGTAATCGTAAATAAGAGCCCACTCTGTTCGTTAATTCTGTGCAGCTTCGGATGGTTTTATGCTAGTTAGTATTGGATTAGTTTCTTATTTTCTATCTTGAGTTAAAACCCAAGTGGAGGCTTATTGTAAGCCTGAGAAGGGGCCATCTGTTCATGTATGTTGAGTTAGAATGAAATGTAACTTTAACCCTTCTTTGGACTTCTTAGTGAACTCTGCGATAAGTTGCTACCCAGTTCTTCAATATTCTAGCCTTTAATGACTTTACATTTAGCCAGGATACTACAAGTTAATTGGCTATATGATTGAAAGGACACAAAAATTGACTTCAGAAGGAAACTCCCATAGAAGGTATTTTAAGAGAAATTGTTTTTCATTAAGCCTTCACAATAGAAAACTAATAATAGCCATGTGCAACCAGCCTGTTTGCAGGCACCGAGTATGAGGTGAACCGATAAAGTTTAACAGAAGTATCAACTCAGCAATCAGTGGGCGAGTTTTTCAACATTTGGAAATCTAAGGCTCAAAGAATGGAAGGAGATGGCATATATTATATTAGTACTTTTAGTTCTCTCTCTTACCGATAGCTTCGTTAAAAATCCCAATCATAATGCATTTTCTCAAACGTTTAATACATGGTAAAATGCTCTTAGTATACAAAAAAAAAAAAAAAAAAAAAAAAAAAAAAAAAAAAAATCTGAAATGTTTCAGATTTTAAATTACGTCCAAAGGGGCGTTTTTTAACATTTTGTGTGTTACCTTTCTTTATTAAATATCATGTTCCTCGCACTTAAACCATAAAGATTCCAGTTGCAACAGCAATATCGCAAAATAGTTTTAAAACGAGCATATCTTTAGAATTTCCGATACAGAGACTCACGCGCTGGAGATAAAAATGTTTTTTCTGCACAACGTTGCCATTGCTCGCTTTGAAATCCTTGAGTTTGTGAATCAAAAATTCGTCAAAGTTTTAAAAAATAGGAAATCGATCATAAAACAAATTTCAAATTTCAAATTTGGTCTTCCACATGCTCATATTCGTTGGAGGATTACGTTATTCAAAATTCGATGACTCTATGTACCGTTGTTTTTTTATCACAATACGAGAAATATACATACATTTATGCAGATTTTTCATTATTTAATTTCTTCAAATATAATGCAGGACTCTAACATTTTGTGGCAACAGTTTGAAAAGTGAACCGACATTTATGAGTCCGACGCAAAATGCCAAAACGAAACTAATAGGCCTTCGGGATTCAAATCCCTTTGGACTAAAAAAAAAATAAGGAATTGTACGAAAAAATAAAGAAATATATAAAAGAACTCCTAACTAAAATAAAGGCATATTTCTCTGGTAGGTTTTGCTCAAAGAAAAAGCTTTCAGAAAAGATTAAACGGTCCATTGAAAATCAAATCAAAATTTTTTAAATAACGCTGCATTTAAATTAAATTCTACTTTAAATTAAAAGTCAGTTATAGTTTCTTTCTTGGAAATTCGAACTCAACTAACTTCACAATAAATTAAAGGAATATTTTTGACAGTGAGGTTGACTATGTATTATGCTGCTTTCATAATCGAATACCTGAGTCTGGCAAACCACATGAGAATTGCCTACTTGCTAGGATCAAGAGCGAAAGCATTTAGAGGATGTAAACATTAAATGTAATATAAAATTTTAAATGTAAAATCTTCGTAATTTTACTTGTAAAATATACAACAGTAAAACGAAGTTCTAAACATGACTTCAAACTATTAATAACCTGTGCAGCCTTCCGCAATTTTTATTTAAAAATATAAACGGTAAATATAAGGAAAGAAATACTTACATTTAGTGCACACAGGATAAAATCAATCGAAAACAAGCTGACCAAAAATGTATTGAATTGCTAAAATAAATCATAACATTGTGTAAGACAGTTATATAAATGTATTAGACAGTTATATAAATAATAATAAATTTATAATAGAAACATCAAAATGTCCAAAGATAAAATATTAACTGAGGCGAAATTTTATTGTATAATTTCAGTATATATGATCAAAGGCAACAGTAAAAGTGTAAGGGCAAAATTTTAAAATTGTTATAAACCTGATACACCTTCAACAAGTGATTTAAAGATGTATTGCGGAAAGATTAAATAAAGCAAAACAGTTTTCATCCAGGACAAAATGAAAGTCGTCAGATACTTTGTTTTTGAGATACAGCATGTGGAGAATACAATCCATTTTGGAATATTTTTATATTTATTTTACCAACTGATTTTCTGAACGCTTCCGCGCTTTATTGAATGGTTACTTTTTCACTTTTCCGATGCTAAAGAAAATCTGTTAATAAGACTCCGAAGCTCATGATTTAATGTTTTCCCTAACCGCTTGCATTGTTTTACATCCTTGTGCGAAACGACAAGAAAGTAGTTTATTGAGATAAACTAAATTACTACCCGAAATTTTTCGCGATTACAGGAAGCACTGTAATCGCAAAAAATTTCGGGTATCATATTTCAACGAAAATATCCATTCTGACCGATCTATAAAGAGGTTTTTGCCTGGCAATTGTATGTATGGGCTGAATAAAGGATATTTCTTACCAAAACGGATTGTAAAATGGATTTGAAATGGATTCAAAAGAAATTTTTTCGGGACGTATGTACGTACGTACGCATGTATGTTCCCATAAATCAAAAATGAGTAGTTTCAGAATGTTAAAATTTTGTACATGGGACAGCTATAACATATAATTCTGCACTTCTCTTTTTGGTTAATATTTGCCGCACCAAAAGTATATATACATATATATATAATAAAAATTTACAAGATAATTCCTTTACTCTTCTCTATCCATTACCCTCCGGTTAAGGTTTAAGGTAATGTTATCATACCATAAAGAGCCAAAATATTATAAAGTAAAGTTAATGCCTGCCTTTTTAATATATAAATTAATAAATTTTTGTGGTACTTGGTTATCAACTTGAACATTAATTAGCTTTATTATTTTTTCTTTTAAATCTTCTATTTCAGTACATATATTTTTTATTCTGATTATTTGGCTATGAAATGTGTTTTCTATTACTTTTCTAGAGATATTAGAGTTCCAATTAATTAGCTTAATAGTAGGAAAATGGAAATTCCTTCTCTTATCATATAATTTAATTTTGCTGTGTTTAATAATTAGCAGGTCTAGGTATTCAATAGTATCTTGATTCGTATTCGTTTTATTAAGTGTTAAACTATTTGGGTAAATTTTGAATTGCTCAAAAGCAGAATTATTATTGAAAGTTAAAATATCATCTATGTATCTAAATGTATGTGCAAATAGTTTTAATTCATTTAAACTTAGTTGGAATTTATATTCATAAGTAAAAAGAAATAGGTTACATATTTGTGCAGAACTGTTTGCTCCCATAGGAATTCCTCTCACTTGCTGAAAAGTTGTGGGAGTTGCATTAAACTAGTAAAAATTTCTTCTAATGGTAAAGAAGTATAAAGGTTTTCAAAGTCATAGCAGTTAATGCTCCTGATTTCTAAACTTTTAATCTGCTGAGAACTGGAGCATTATTATAAATAATCCAACTATTAGTTGTGTCGTTTGTTAACGAGTTGTTGGATTAAATTACAGATTTTTTTAAAGTTTAATTGCAAATATGTAATCTATATTCTTTTTATAATTATTTGTACCATTAGCAATAAATTTAAATTTGAGTGGTGATTTATGAAATTTTGGGAGAGCATATAGATTTGCTAATTTATTGTAGTTAGATGGTTGTGAAATTTGCAGTTTCTTTTGAAATGCTTTTAGCTTTTTTGCAATAACATTTTCTTGTATATTGGTGAGTTTGTAAGTAATGACATTATTAAGTTCAGCATTAATTAATGAGACATAAAAAATTTTCACATTATGCTAAAATTATTATTGGCTTTGTCAATTTTGGTTATTACGAACTTTTGTTTCAAATCTTACAATAGAGGAATGAGAATATTTCACGATAAATCGTTATTAAATTCAATCCTTCGAATTCTTTGCTTAAATTCTTCTAATACTTCATGTTTCCAAGCCATAAAGGTAGAATTTGTAATATTTAATTTGTAACTAGTTTTAACTATAAATTCGTCTAGATCTTTTACGAAACTTTGAAAACTGTGATGTTTGTTAATTTTTAGTACTGGTCTGAATTTGGTACCTTTTTCCATTAAATTTCTTAAAAGTTGGTTTTGAACTATTGCTAAATTGCCTGTAATAATATGTTTATGAAATTTATCTATGTAATCTTTGTATTGAAGCTCTTTGCAGTATCAATGGGCTGTAGAAGCTAATTCATGGTGGTTAATTAGCAATTTACTAAGAGGTATTTGATACTTGAAAGCTGGTTAGATTTGTAATTTAGTAGTTTGAAAAAAGCTGTTGACTTTTTCTGAAAATTTTGCTAAACTGAATATGATCATAGTTTGGATGAAGGAAATTGATTTTGCAGTAATATTTATTGTATTTGTTATTTGTAGAGAATTTATAATTGCAAAAGTCAATAATAAGGTCTTTGATAATATTGTGCCCTATAAAATGCTGTTTAACAAATTTTATAAGTAATTTTAAGAAATTATGCTTACAAGTATGCAACCAAGTAATTATGTTTTTAGTGAAATTTTCAGTAAGAAAGTAATTATTAATATTATCGTTTAACTTTTTTGTATCTATGCTGAAAAAAAAAATTTTTTTTTGTTTATTACCTGCTCTGGTTCCTCGTAATGTTTTTTTACTGAATAATTTAAAATGGCTGTAAGTTGGAATTTCAGAATTTAATTTAATGTTTTGGTTGAATGTATTGAGTCCATAAGGGTAAAGTGCTTTTAATTTAAGCATATAGAGTGACTATGAGTTTTATACATATATACATACCCACTGTGTTACTCAGTTCGATAAGCTCAGTATTTTTATTCTTATGTGTTGGTAAACTGTGCACTTTTTGCTAAGGGCTTGAATCATGTTGTTCCTATGTTCCCATTAAAGTTTTCAAGCCTTTAGTTCTTCTGCAGCAAGCTTTTTCCTTTCTCTTTTCAGCCTGCCTTCGTGATGTAAAGGCAGCACACTCGGAGCGTATTCGAGAGGTCCAGGTTCGAATCCGCGGTAGGATATTGCTTCTTTTTAACTTCGCCTGCTTCAAAAGAACCTAATGACTAGGACAAAATGGCGCCCAAACTAAGAGGTAGTGGACGGTAATTCGTCATCACCAGGAATTGGGGATGGGGTTCCCTATTTCCAAATCAGCTTTTAGATAATAGACTATAAGGTACTTTCTCCCTCCTTCCAGCTTGCTTTTGTGGTGTAACTGTAGCACACTAGGAGCGTATTCGAGAGTTCAAGGTTCGAGTCCCGGTGAGGGCGATGCACATATTTCACATCTTCTGCTTCGAAACAACCTAATGAATCTACTTTATAAATTGTTAACGTAACTCAAATTAATCGTCTATTAAAATATTCTAATATATTTCATTAAAAAGCAAAGAAGTATAGTAAGAATTTCATTTTTAAATTAAAAAAGCTACACCGAAACTGATATTAATGTAATAGCTGACATACACATTAATTTATCAAAGTTAGCTTCTAATGGTATTTATTCAGGACAAACATTTGACATTTCACTAAACTAGCAATTAGTCAACTTCAAGTTAAAGTATGTAGTCTTAACACGTTTAATAAATCACATTTCTTAGGATTTGTTGAGCAAACGTTTTCTCAATACTTTTATTAAAAGTTTTAGAATAATATCCGTCATACGAAAAAGCTTTATGAAAAAAGTCTTGAACTCAATAAACTACTTTCTTGTCTTTTATCAGATTTCTTTTTTTTTTTTTTTTTTTTTTGTAATTTATTTGCTAACTGTTTATTAGTTTTATTCTCCAAGTAGTTTACGTAAACGTAATTATATGTACGTAAAATGCATTTACATAAAGATAGCTTCTGAAAATTAAAAAAAAATTTTTAGTGTCAGAACGGATTGAAAGACAAAAATATAATGCTCATTTCAAGTAAAATAATACCACCCTGCAGAGAAATGAAGTGCTGCTTATATATTGAGTTCCTTAAGAGTCCATATGTTTTATTTTCGAAACATTTTCTTCAACACAGGATTTATTTTCACAACCGTTGGTAGTAGAACATCTAATTGCAAAAAGATTTTAAGTTACTTAAATATTCATATTGTATTTTTAGATTTAAATCCAACTTTGTAAAAATAACGAAATCAAAATTTTTACACTGTCCTAGATGCATGTAGGTCTATTCAAGAAAGGGTTATACACGTTTTGAAAAATTATAAGGTATTTCTCCCGCCTTCGTAGTGTAGTGTTCAGCACGCTGGGCGCGTATTCCAGAAGTCCGAGCTTCGATTCCAGACGAAGGCATTGCTCATTTTTCAAGTCGCCTGCTTCCAATTAACCTAATTTCTCTACAATAGCACGCGAACTAGAAAGTTTTTGGATGATGATTCTTTACACCCAGGATTTGGCGATTAGGGTTCTCTAAACCACAGTCGCCCTGTAAAAGGGGGAGTATGTAAGATATTTCTTCCGCCTTCTTAGCATGCCGTCGTAGTGTAGTGGTCAGCAGCCTGGGAGCGTATTCTGGTGGCCGTGGTTCGATTCCTGGTGAGGGCGTTGCTCATTTTTCACCTTTCCTGCTTCAAAAATACATAATGTCTCTACAGTGGCGCCCGAACTAAAAGGTGGTGAACGATGATTCCTCACCACCAGAATTTGGCCATTGGTCCCCTAATCCCCAGTCGCTCTTTAAAAGGAGGAGTATATAAGGTATTTCTCCCGCCTTTTTAGCATACTTTCGTAGTTTATAGTCAGTACGCTCGGCGCGTATTCGAGAGCTCCGTGGTTGGGTTTC